CTTCGTGCTTGGCTCTAAATTCTATTATCACAGAAGAGCCCGCGTTACAGCAAAGGAACGTGCTGGAGGAAGGTCACCCTCAAAAGCACGATAAGAAGAAACTGTCAGGGAAAGTAAATGACAGAGCACGGATGCCTTTTAGCTTTTCCTCTGCCCATTTGCAGGTTGTGAAGGAAGGGAAAGTATTTCCCAGTGTAGGGACTTTCTCAAAATTAGTTTCTCTCCGAAAGATGCAAGTAAATATAAAGTAATCCTTTTTCATTTTGACAGAGTTGCGGAGAAAGAGTAATATCAGTGGAAGATTTGGAGAAAAATAAGGCTGGCTCTTCCTAAGTCCCAGCAGGAGGAGGAGGTCTTCTAGAGAGGCTCCTTGCTGTGCTTGAGGGCAGACACAGACAGGGGCATGGACACACATGGACACGGGCAGAGCAAAGAGAGGACAGAGCCTTGTTACCTGCGGTGGCAGCAGCGTGGTTTTCCAGGCTGGGTGTGCCATGCCAGCCTCCTGACCCACCACCAAGCTCACAGCATGTGTAGTTCCATCTGCCAGAGGGGACAAGCCCCGTGGGGACATGGTGTGATGAGGCTGAGCCTCCAGTCACCATATAAGTGGCAGCTTGGAGACAGATGTCTGCGTCCCCCGGGAGAGGGGCTGGCCAGGTGGTGTCCACAGCTTCCTGTGCCCTGAAGGAGGCACCACAGCAGAGAAGGAAACAGACTGTGTTTAATGGGAAGTTAATGAACACTTCCACGTCATGGGAAGCTGTGTTATTAATCAGCATGTGCTCCATGCTGCAGATGAACAGTTTAGAGTTAGGAACTGTTCAGGACATTGGCGTGCTGCTGGGAGGGTTTCTGGTTGATGTCCTCGGGGGCGGCCCCTTGCTATCTTTAGATGGAAGTGTAATTACCTTGCCTCAGCAATCTAATCAGAGTGGCGCTCTGATTCAAATTGCGTTCCTCCCTTAGCTTCTGCTTTACCCACTTACTGTAAGATGTTGCTACCGGCAGCTTCTGTGGTCCAACTTCTAGGGCCAGTTTATCAAGGAAAAAGCAGAAAAGCAGAATGGTATTGCCTGCCCTTAGAAGAGTGTTCGCTTCAGCCTCAGTGTGAGCAGAATGACTTTCCATGGCTGCTCCGCCTGACTCTCAGGACAGCTAGGGACTAAGAAGTTACTTTTAAAAGATAAAAGTTTGTGCTAGTTTTCGGGACTGTGTTATTGGGGAAGCTATGGTTATTTCATTTCAAAATCATTATCTGTGTCAGCTCTCGCATGGATACAAAAAAGGCCACATCATTGATCCTTGTGGGCAAGGAGAACTGGCCTGAAAATACAGCCATGGCTCCATTCCTGCAGTTCTGTAGGAGCTGAGCAAGACAGATGGCCTTACTAGAGTTGCCTGTCTGCCCCTGAGGCCTCCAGACCTGCACTGCTCCTGAGAATCACTGAGAGCACTGTACTGGGAGCGCAGTTTGGAATAACGTCAAGGCTTACAGCTCATCTTAGTCAAGTTCAAGGATTCATCTCCAAATTTCCAGGCACCCTGCAGACCGGAAGGATGGCAATCTCTAGAGGTAGAATGGCTGCGTAGCACTTTCTTTTTAAACTTCTCCAGATGACTCCAATGAGCACCCAAGTATAGAAACATAACCTTTGAAAATAGACAAGGGCCAGCTGGGTTTCTGTGGCCTCAGGCGTGCCCTTTGCATTCTGTCAAGTCTATTAACCAGTTTCACCCACAGAACAGAGACACTGGTCTGTTTTCTCTGCTTCGGGGCAAGAGAAGCCTTCTTCCTCTGGCTGTATGGGATATGGGGAAGTGGAGTAGAGGTAGGCGTCCCCTTCAGAAGTATTGCCCTGGGACTGGGGATTTGGCTCAGCTTGCCTCACAAGTGCAAGGTCCAGAGTTTGAGCCCCAGTACCAAAAAAAAAAAAAGTAAAAGTATCGCCCTGAGTGCACACAGAGGCCCTGGGGTAAGACTGCGGAGTTCCGTGTCAGCTACTGCTTGGATCTGCAGCATCCACTAAAGCCCTTGCATTACAGGCTGGATCCCAGCCTGGTGCTCTCTGGGAGGTGGGAGAACCTGACAAGGCAGAGCCCAATGGGGGGCATGCTCTAGAAGGAGAATGTGGGAGCCCAGTCTTTTCCTAGTTCCTGCTTCCCAGCTGAGGTGAGCGGTTTTGCTCTGACGCTTATTTTTGCCATGCTGTGCTGCTACAGAACCCACTGATCAGACTGAAAGAGCCAAGCCTTTGAACCACAGTAAACATCCTTCTTCAGGGAGAAGGGTCCAGTTCATATCCAGTGGATCACTGTAGTACAGTATCTCACATTTTATCCCATAACCAATACGTCATAGAACAAAACAAACCAACTTCAAGGACTTTGCTGTAGACTTCAGGGAGAGACAGATGAGAAGGATATTGTCCTTACTTATTTAAGGTTCCTCCATCCAACATTGTAATTTTCTTCCAAATTCAGAGCTTCCTGCTCCAAGTCTCTCATACCCTCCGAAGCAATGCTGTCTCACCCTCAGTACCTTGTAGAGCATATCCCTGAGTGGCTGCACAGTGCTACCTGTCATTTCTCAAGCACTTCTTTGGTGATGACGAGAACAGTGACGATGCTACGATGTCTACTAAGAACTGAACGTTCAGCTGTATCTGTGTTACTGGAATGTCTGTGTTGAAGGAGAGGGTGGGCGCTAGGGCTCCTGCTCTCACTGATCCCAGAAGCCCACACGTTCTGCCCTGCTCACCTCACCACGCCTCATTCTCTTTCAGCAGACTGAAGTACCCTGAAGAGAACCATTTAGCTCTCCCCACCCTCTTGGAGCCTTGCATTTTGTAAATCCCGTGGTTGACCCAGTGGTTCGCAGCTAAAGCAGAGTCTCTCACTGTGGCTGCGTGCTGTCCTCACCCCTGACACTGGAGGAAGTAGCAGTCATGACAGTGGCGTTGCAAAGCCCCGGTGTCTGGGAGAGCTCTGTGAGAAGTGGCACAGCCTCGCAGCCCCTGTGCCCAGAGACACAAGTAGACCCCAGACCCTCACTTTCCCTCCTCAGTCCCGTGGGTTCACCCCATGTGTTCTGCCCTGAAAGCCAGACCGTGATTCCCCTGAGCCTCTGGGCCAGATAGCGAAAGGAAACTGCCAGAGCCAGCTTTAGGATGCTGGCCAGACATGCGGATGCCACAGCTGTGTGAGGCCAGAGTCCCAGGACACTGAGCAGACCGACAGAAAACCTCTCGGGTGGAGAGAGGCATCCACCACCGGAACTACAGGGCCAGTGCTGGGAAGGGCGGTGTGGGAAGTTATAGTGCTGTGACGTTCAGAAAAATCAACAATAAAACCAAGGGAAACTTCTCGGAGGACATAAATCTGCTCTAGTCAGGCAAGCTGGGCCCTGGGAGAAAGGAAAGGAAGAAAGGGCACACCCACTTTCAGGCCAGCACAGGTGCCTCGGACGCCAAGTCACTTGTTCAAGAACAAGGGCAGTACCGAATGGTCAGAAGATGACCTTTACCTCCAGACAGGTTGGGTGGTGCTGTACACAACAGGGGACCATCCCAGTGTCACGGGGGATCAAATGGTCCCCACTAGGGTGAGCGAGTTCACAGTGTACACATCTCACTGTCGCCCTGCACTGCAGCCCCCAGGGGTCCGGAGTCACATGGCAGCTGCCGGGCCTAGGTTAAGAGCTGTGTCCCAGACCCCGGGAGGGACCAGGCTTGATTCCAAAGGGATGCCCTGCCCTTTGCCCTCTTCCTTCGTGACTGGCACATAGGAAAACCACCCTGCCAGACTAGCTAAGGTCTCTGCATACGGGAGGCGGTGCGTGTGTGCTCACCAGTGGGCGTCTCCATGGCCCCATACTGGGGAGAACCTTGGCACGAGCAGGGCCCTCGAGTCTTCATAGCACAGCTTCCAAGGCCAGTGCTGCACGCCAGGCCCCAGATGGCAAATAGTATGGGAACAACAATTTAAGTCTTCTCTGCAGCCTCTTGCAAACACAAAAGGTGACGTCTTATTGGTATTTCACAGACTCTTTTCATCAATCACATCCCTTCTAGCTGCCCCCAACCTTCTAGTGCCCTTTCAGTCATCCCTAAATGACGTGAAATACAAACCAGAAAACCTTCACCTTTGTCCCTTTCCTGTTTTTTTTTTTTTTTTTTTTTCTTGAATTACTCTGCTCTGAGCTGTCAGCCCATTAGTCTAATTCCTAGCCATATCTGTTTTACAGATACCTGTAACTGCGGCCCAGAGGCTAAGGCTGCAGAAGATGGGCAGAGTCAGAGTTTGCAGGGTATGCCCATGGCCTCTCTATCACATACTCCCAAGGAGTTTTCTTATTTTTTTTTTTTTTTGCCTGCTAAGATTAAAGGGCTTTCTCCTCGCTCTGCTGATTTTAGGCCTGATCTGCACCATCAAGGTACCTCACTTGGCCCTAAAGCAAATCCACTCTCCCTGCTGCACAGTAGTTCCTCCGTTCTCCAATTCTAGAAGCAGAACTCCTCAGATTCATGCAGAGCTTGCACACAAACACAGATTCCGGGTCCTCTGTCCAGTCCTGCTAAGTCAGAATACAGAGGATTGAGTCCAGAAATCCGTTTTTGACAGGCTCAGCAGGAAATGCAGAAAATGGCTCTGTTCAGAAACCCATTCTTACCTGATACAATTCTAGATTGGTTTAATTTACATGTAAGCTTCGTGTCAAGAGCAGAGTGTTTCAAGGCCAGGCAGCTGACCTTGGTGGCATGGGTACGGACGGGCAGAGGACACAGAAAGTGCCGGGTCCTGGCCAATGGATGTCGCATCAGCATGCAGGAATATATCTATTTCATGCAGTCTGCCACATTAATATCACCTCTCATAAAACGCTAACGGCAGTCTAACCGATTAGCAGTAAACAAACTTATATTTCATTTATTACCATGACTCAAAAAAACGCTACCGGTTCTAACTAAATGTCTGTTTTTATGTTCTGTCATTTCCAGGCACGAAAGTAACTCAAACAAATCCCAAGGCGTAAGGAAATGGGCCTCATTCTGTAGGACTCTGTGGCATTGGAAATGAAGCCAAGCGACTTTATTACATCCTACAATTCTGCAACCTTTGGCGAAGCATTTTATTGTACGTGTGGAAGCCATCGGGGTTACGTTTCAGTCACTATGACTGACAGGCTAACTTCAGAACAATGGCACTGATGCTCTTCCACCTCCCCAGCTCTGTTCTTAGAATAGAACCTTTTCCACATTGTCCTTTAGCCCGCACGAAAATAAAACGGTAGTTCCAATGTTTATCTCGTGTACTAGCTCACTTAAAAATGCGGATTTGGGGGCCTCTGAAAGTCACACTGAGGAGTCGCCCTCTTAGAGCTAGTGTGCTTGCTGTGTTCCAAATTTTGTGACAGTGGAGATAAAACTGAGAATAGTTTCCATCTTGATAGGAAAGATAAAAGAACAAGAAACGTATAACCTTTTCTCAGTTATATTTCCCACCCGCCTTAATACAGAGAAGCAAGGCTAAAAGAGCTTAAGATGACAAACTTAGCTTCAAAAAACACATGAACATGTAATGCGGTGACCTGAGAGCCTGGACCGGGCTGTCTGTATGGTAGGATTGTAAGAAAGTCAAAGAGAGTCCTCCAGGATTTGTTCAGGAAGCAAACCCCTCACCCATAATTGACAATTTCTCCAAGGGAGAATAACAGAAATCAGATCTTTCTTCTCTCGCTGGTTAATAAAAGGAGAATTAGGGTTTATATAGAAAAATAAAACCTACCTACACAGCACAGCTACAAATAACTGAAAGCATGACTTTTCTTTTTCACAAAAAGCCTCCGAGTATCTCCTCAGGCTGATGGGCAACTCCCCAGCCCAGCCAACATATGCTGGTGACACACCAGTCTCCATCAGCAGTCACACCCTACTCTGCTCTCTCGGCTTCTCTCTCTGTCTGGCTCTTGTAAGAACATAAGTCACGGGATTTGGGGCCACTAACATAACCCAGAAAGACTTCCTCAAGATCTCAAGATCCTTAACTTAATCACAAGGCAGAGTCCCACTTTCCAAATGGGATTTGACATGGACATGTCTCTTAGGACTTCCAGTTAACCTCCTACCTGGGGCATTTGGAACTGGACTCTTTCTGACACGGTACAAGCCACAAGGCTGTGTACACCCAGTAGTGTCTATTTAAGATCTGGTTTTACATCCGTGCAAATCCCCAGTTACTGACAAAGACTGACGCTGCCTTATTTAAGCGGTGACTCCCCCCGACCCCTGTTCCCAGGCCAGGTCTAAGATGCCTCTCTCTTAGCTGAAAAGAAGAATTTGTTCAATCTGAACATGGCTTTCTGCTCAGTGAGACACACACTCTTTCACCATCTCAAAGAACTGGCCCTAAAGAAAAGCGCCCTAAGATGACAAATTCTTACACTCTTAAGGTCAAGCATGGATCCCAACTTAGATTTTGATAGCAAATGTGGCCAGAATCTGCCCCCCCACTCCCTCCAGGAACAATTCCACATTTCATTCACTGACTTTGAATCAAATAGCTAATATACCCTTAGTCACGAGGAACAATTCTTGAGTCTTGCTGTAAACCTATTTGCAGTTTTGTTTTCCACTTTGTCTATGCGTTAAAACTAAGCCTCACTGCCACCTTTCTATCCGGGGATTTCCTGATGTCGGTCTCTTCTCTGAGACTCGCAGGCTTTGGAGGCTGTGCTGGCTGGAGAGGCAGAAGCTCAGCCTTGAAGCATTAGTTTCACGCAAGCCCCAGGAGACCAAAGACATTCTAAGGTAGCAAAAGCTGTCTCGGCAGAACTAAATGAAGCCTGGTGAATCCAATATGGGGAAAAAACAACTGTATTTGCTATAGAGAAAGTGGCTGCATGGAGAAAATATCAAAAGGCAACGGAAAACGACGCTTACATCCACAGCAATGTCTGTAGAAGTTGCCTTCTTCTCTCTAATTCCTTATAGGGCATAAATACTAGGCTGTTTCTGTTCTTCTCCAGTGCTGGAGAATCGCTAATTTTATGCCAAGCAATGGAGAATGAGACATGTGTTTGGGCATCTACTTCATTGTTGTACTACTCAGACAAAAATAGCCTGGCAGCCTCTCCTGATGTCGATGACATTTCAAAGGATTCTTCTGCTTATCTTTGTGAGCTTGCTTTTCAAACTCTGAGCTTCCTCCTGTCTTTATGGTTAAAACTTGAAATCAAAACCCAAATCACAAGTAAGAGTAATCCATGGTTGGCAGAGCTGGAAAGGTTCCCAGTGAATGTATACACCACAGCAGACCCACACTCACAGAACAGTCCTTCTCAAACCTGCAGTTATTTTAGATAATAAGAGAGTGTGGGCCTCATCAGTGGAAACCCCTCCCATCCACCCTTTCGTGTCTCCATGCTTCAGACTAAGGCCTCCTCCAGGAGTCTGTTTGCTGGTGAAAGAGGAACTCGCATTTTCTTGTGTCTCTGCTAGACACATCAGCAACTGTTCTTTCATCTAATTCACAAAAGCTCCCTACACGGTGTATGTGGAGATGCAGGCTCAGAAAGTTTTCATAACTTGCTCAAGACTGCAACGTTGGTAACATGATGGAGCTGAGATTTGAACTGAGATCCATCTCCTAAAATCCATGTTCTATGGAGAACTGATGAGCAGAGATGCCAGCAAACTTCATTCATGTGATTCCCAGTCTGTCTCCTAAATCCTGTGAACTGGCAGGTTGTCTTTTGTACTGACGACCAAGGGAAAGTTGAGAGAAAGGGAATTTTCACAGAGTTTCGAGCCACAGTATTCCTTTTAACCATGCGGATATAAGTAATGGCATTTTTATCATTTATAGTACTTTTACCCTTAAGCAAATGTATTAACCAAAGGGTTAATAATTGTACTAAAAATAAAACAATATAAAAATGAACATGTAGTTATTTAGTTCTGGAGACTGGAAATGAGTCACCTCTGTGAACCACCACCAGCAACAAGTCTTCATCATGGCCATGTCCCCCTAGTTCGCTTCGGTCCTGGAAATGTTTTGAGTACCTGCTAAGTGCTGAATTGGAAGGTTATGGGTTTAGTAGCCAAAAGTGAGGTAGCAATGAAGGCATTGCTGGGAAGCAAAGCAACTGCTTTGGTCTGAAGGGTCATGTTTCCCCCAAATGTGTTATGGAACCTAGTACCCATTCCACTGGTATTAGGAGAAGGTGGGGCTTTGGGATGGTGACCAGATCATGGGGACAGAGCCTCTTGTAAAGAGGCCCCTGTTGTGTGAGGACACGGGGAGAAGACACCATCCATGAAGAATGAAGCAACCCTTCACCAAACACGGAATCTGCTGGCATCATGATCTTTGACTTCTCAGAGCCCAGAACTGTGAGAAATAAATTTCTGTTGTTTATAAACTTGCCTGGTTTACCGTATTTCGTTAGCAGCAGTCCAAAAGCAGGCTTGCATCTCCCATAGATGGCAAAAGAGAAGGAGGATGGGAAGGGCAGGCCTCATTCATCATAGGCACTTGGGAGATGCACTGCTGAACCCATTGTTTCTCATCACCCCGTCATATCCTCAACTCTTCAGGACAAACCCGACCTACAGAAACCCCACGTGGCCACCACTGTGCTAAGCATTCCCATAGCGTTATTCCACGTAACCCTCACAAACATCAAATAATCTTCTTTGTTCCCTACTTCTTTTCTTTAACAAACATTAATTCACAAGGAACAGTTCTGGAGTCATGCTGCAAACGCATTTGCAGTTCTAACACCTGTTGTACGTCAAACACTGTTTGCTTTAGGTGCGGTGCTACAGTGTGAGCAGAAACGTCTGTAAGTGACTATTCTCTTCCTCCTGTAGGCAGGGAACCTGAAGCCCAGGGAGTGTGTGGCTTAGTGAAGGTCACACGCCGCTAAGAATTCCTGTCCTGTAAGAAACCCTAAGCTGAGCTGTTTTTCAGAAGGTGGGAGGAGAGGACACAGCAGATGCCCTAAGGGAGATTTGATTTGCCTTTATAGGCCAGGACCAGTTAACGTCCCTACACAGGTAACTGCATTCAGGTCACATTCCACGTGCTCCAGCTTGATCCAGTGGTGGCAAACGCATGACTGTCCCATCGGGCAGCTTGAGCCACTGCTGCTACAAATGGACCTTACCACTATTACTGGGCTTTTTTGCTAATGATGTTAATGAAAAGCTGCTCGATGGGACAGCCACACATCTACCACTGGGGATTCAAGCCGCCCAGCAGTGAAACACAGACTACGGCCCACGCTGCACTTGTTAATGAGCCTTTAGCAAGGGCCCTCCATGTGCCCCTGCGAGGACGGTGTGGATGTCCTGGGCTCCGCGTCACCCTGCAAGTGTCTGCTGCCTTCCCGCGTTCTGACAGTGTGGTAGCATTCGGCACCTTCTGAGCCTGTTTCTCTGCCTTTCATCCCTGGTTCCTAAGGAAGGACATGAAGGGCTGTGCTCCCAGAGTCCAAAGGAGCTCTGTCCACACTGCTGGTTCAAAGTGGGATTTAGTAAACAGGCTTCCCACCCTGCTGCTAAGGCCTCATTCCCCCACCGTGCTCACCTTTTGCTTTTCTCTTTTTCTCTTTCTTCTCTTCCCCCCTTGCCCTCTTTATTCTTTTTCTTCTCTTTGTCAGAAGTTAGACCCCTAAAAGCAAGTTCATAAACGTGACCCACAGTGCACAGTAGTGACCCTCACACTTTGTTTACCTCTACCTGGGACACGGAAGTGTTCGCCACAATTGACTGCAAGATCTTCCTCGAGAGTTTCAAGAGGGCCACAGTCTCACGCTCCCAGCTGCTCCTGATTTGGGTGGGTCAGGGCCCACAGTCTGAAAACTGCTGACCTAACCGGGTTGTTTTGGTTTTGGAAACAGAATTTGTTTCTAGTGCACTTTCAGGCCCTGCATTGAACATATCTTACTCTAGAGGTAATAAACTGCAAGTTAAATCCAATCAGGCTATTCAAGCACTTCTGGTAGGTTTTTAGAGTCAATACCACAGAAATCTTCTTGTCTAGGCTAATTAGGTGATTCATTTAGATCGATAATAGATGAACAAAAGGACAGTGAGGCAGCAAGAGCTCACCACCAGCTTGATAAAATGGCAGTAACTTCAACCAAGAGCATTGGTCTACAGTTGGGCTGAGCTGTGGGCCAGGGATTTAGCTCAGTGGCACCAGCACCTGCCTGCCAAGCGCAAGGTCCTGAGTTCGATCCCCAGTTCTACAAAGATAATCGAACAAAGAGATAAATAATAAAAACTGGGATTAGCTGCTGCAGACTGCAATGTGTCAGTCCAGAAGGAAAAGAAGTCCACCCATGCTGTGGCCGGAATGTGATTATTCAAAAGAATACATAGGCCAACTCTGTTGGCCTCCCTTGGTCAAATAACTCATCCATACGGGCCTCCCATGACTGTGGCTATGGGACATTGCTAGTCCGTTCAGGTTTGAGTGTGGCCTGGAACTCAGATGCCCCCAGGGCGGGGCTTCATTCCAAGATAAGAAGAACAGCCACTCTCCTGTAGCTTTGGAAGTTTGGACCAGGTTCCAGGTGTCACACTTTTCAGAAGAGAGTGGTGGGAACCTAGTACTTTCACCCATCAGCCTTGTACCGGTGACCTTCAGAGACAGACAGTATGCTAGGCCAACTTTACTACCATGGAAAGGGAGGCTCAGAGAAGGCAGCTTTCCCGAACTTCAGTCCTTCTAACCTCTTTAAACTGCAGCACTTTTGCCACATCTACATAATACCTGTGTGGCTTACTTGTTTTTCCTTCTATTCGATTCTCATATGCACTTACCAGTACATTTGTTCAAATAAAAGGAAGCTTACAAGCACTGCAGCAAATGGAAAACCAGGACCTTCTGCCGTAAATAGAAGCAAACCATAAGGATGGATACCATAGGGGAAAAGTTATTAAATTGTGGCCTGCTGAAAGCCCTGCTCAGAGGCCTGGCTTCTCACTTTATTATAAAGGGACATTGGTAACTGTTAGAGAGGTGTTAAAATTCCCTCACACTAGGCAGCATCCTGCTCCTTGCAAACTGAGAAAGAAGGAGAAAAGGAAATAACTTCTCCACTTGTGATCAGACGAGTGACTGGATGCTTTCTCTATAGCCCCTTAAAACCTCCCTGCTCCCACAGTGAGCTGTGCTGTGTGTGGCCCGGCTGCATCCCCTGTGCCCCAAAGCCACCGAGAGCTCTCTCTGCTGCTCCCTGTGCATCTTGAAAAAAGACACTCACTCAGGCTCCCGTGCTTTAGGAAAACAGGCAGCAATCAAGGAGAGAAAGATGATCACACTGTCAAAGCAGCAGAAGGAACTTCTCAGGGTAAGAATGATCATTTGAGTTTTTCCTTTGGGTGGAAATCCCTTTGATAGCGCCTTCCTGCATCCTCCTGTCATTTTGTTGTAAGACCGAATATGTAGGAAAAACAAATAGGCACATTCGTATTTTATCAGCATCTGCCAAAGAAGACAAGGATTGGCCCAACTTCAAGGGGAAATTTCTCAGTCTCCACCACCACATCCAATCTCTGTCCACATCCATCTAGAGAAAGAAGGAAGAGGAATCCAGCAAAGAGGGTTTGGTACTACACTCCCCACCCTAATTCCACAGATTCTAGCACATTCGTGTCTGAATTCACCCCGGGAAGTTTCTATGTCCTTGGCTCATTCTTCTAGCTCCTTTGTGCTGATGTAAACTGTGTAGATGACAGGAAGCTTAAACAACTCGATGCACGGGCATTTTAAATGGGGAAAATGGCAAGCCCAACAGAACCGTCTTTCCAGGAAGTAAATGAAGCAATCAGACACCTCCACTGACAAGGGTGTCCTCAGCGGCTGAGGGGCTGGCTGAGGGGTGGAGGGACTCTCCACCTGTGCCAGGTGCCTTGTATCTAACAAGTAGTGAATCCCGTGAGATGGATTCATCTTCATCAGCCTCCTCACCGTACACACAGGAAACTGAGGCTGGGAGGCTCTTTAACTTGCCCAGGACCACAGAGCTAGCGAGAGATGGCATCCAGCTCACACTCCAGTCTGTCTTACATCAAAGGTCAAGCTCTGCTGAGTGCCTGATGGAAATTAATTAAATATTCATTGTTGTGTCTTTATAATTACCTATAATTAATTTATGTAATTAAGGCCAAGAAAAACACTAATAGAAGACACAATTTTCCCCAAGGCTTTATTGACCTAATGCTAGTTTACAAAAGATGTAGGATCCTGATGGTCTTCTTATATTAAAATCTTATTTATTTTCTCTGTGTATATCACAGATCAAATCCTACCAAGAACAACCAGATTGCAATAGCTATCTATAACACCCTGAATGGGTGCTACAAGTTCTGCCAAGTCTCTCCCAAGCACTGTCCCTCTGCTCACCCACCAGCTGTGAGATAGGTGTTGCCTACAGAGAAAACTAACAGTCAAATATGTGAAATTCCTTCTGCAAGGTCACTCTGTAAGGGGGAGGCAGGAATGGCAACTCAGTCATTCATCTCCAAAGCCCATGTCAGCAGCAAGGTGGAGAAGCATGTGGAGTGGGGACATTGCACTCTTCAAAACTGCAGCAATGGGTACCCCAAAGCCACCGGGAGTGCCCTGTGCTGCTTCGGTGGGACAGATGCATCTTGAAAAAAGGAACTCATGAAATGTCTCAGGACTTCATTTTCCCAGGTCTTGTTCCCTGGTAAATTGCCCAGAGCAAAAGTCAGCTACAGATGGGCTCGACAGAAGAGTGCCATGTTTTCTGCTCTACTGAATGAAGAAGGAAATGCTTTTAGGGTCACAGGGAGAGACGCTACCTATAACAAAATTCAGCCGCACATCAGAGGTGTCTATGTATGCTACTCCAAAAGCTCAGCAAGTAGGAGGATCCAACAGCCGTGTGCAGTTAGTGTTCTAGAAAGTCTTTAAAGTCCATCCTACATATTTTATATTTCCTCGTCTAGCTGCAATGTGCATCTTTAGATTGTTTTATTGCTTAGCTGTGCAGAATGACAGGTTGCTGTACCTAACTGTTTGAATAGCTCAACTGTGCGCACAATTCTCAGGACCTTGCTGAAGAAATGAACAGCCAAAAGCCTTTTGCGGGGGAATCTCATCCGATGAGTCTGAAATAAAGCCCAGTAGGCCACCTTCTGACAACCAATCCCAGGACACTTTTCTGCAGGTGCTGCTTTAAGCCTTCTCTGTGCATGTAATCCCCAACTCCGACACTTCACCCTCTAGAAAATCTCTGACATCCTCACCTGATATAGCACCCCACTTAGGAGATCTGGTTGTTGTAGGGGCTTCTTAATTTTTCCATCTATTTCTATCCACTCCACGATGGGGCAGGGTATTGGT